GGTGAACTCTCTCCTCTGTGCCACACAGCGAGCCTGAGAGGCAGGAATGATCATTCCCAGTTTACAGACGAGTCACCCAGAGAGGGTCAGCTCCCTTGCTGAGGGTGGAGGTACACGCTCCTTAGATCGTTCAACACTACGAGATCAAAAGAGCAGCATTTGCCCAGGGATAAAGCTCAGAAGGCAAGAAGGGATAGGAAAGAAGGACAAATGGGAACGGAAAATACAGGGAGGAAGTGGGAAGAGTGCTATTCCATTGTGGGGACTGCAATCAATGTCACAAAACAAATGTGTATGAATGGTTGAGCGGAAAACCAATTTGCTCCATAAACTTTTACCCAAATCACAACAAAAAGTTAAAAAAAAATAATAAAAAATTTCAATTCAGTCTTTGGACTCTCAGTTCAACACTTTTTCTACTCTGCCATGTTGTTCTGGGGAACTTATGCAGGGTAAGGCAGAGCCAGGGGAGCACTGTGGGGACACCTGGGGGGGGGGTTGAGGAGTCCCATCAGGTGGGGAGGGTGGGAAGCTCCCCACGGGGGCTGGGTTTCCACTGGCAGGAGTCGGGCGCAGCCATAGTAAGTGGAGGCAGACACGCTAGATAGAGGCATAGGGCCTTCTCAGAGAGAGTTCTGCACTGAACTGTCTCCCCGCCCCCAACTCATGTTGAAGTCCAAACGCCTGGTCCTTGTGACTTTGTCTGGAAATAGGGTCTTTGAAGACAGTATCAGTTATGTTGACATGAGGTCTTACTGGAGTGTGTGGGGAGTCCTAGTCTTTTCAAAGAGCAGAAAAGACACAGGACACAGAGGAAGGAGGGCCATGTGAAAATGCATCTTCATGCCAAGGAATGCCTGTGGCTACCAGAAGCCCAGAGAGACAAGCAGGATCATCTCCTAGAGCCTCTGGAGGGAACACGGCTCTGCCGACACCCTGAAGTCAGACTACTAGCCTCCAGAACTGCAGGACAACAAATGTCAGTTCTTATAAGCCACCTGGTTTGTGGTACTTTATTGCAACAGCCCTGGGAAGTGAACACAGAGGAGAATCATCAGTTTGACCGAAGGGCGGGAGAGTACAAGGCAGACAGATCTGCAGTGAGGCTAAGGAAGTCGAGGAGGGGCCCTACACTGCCACATCCAGGGGTGTGGTTTGAAAATGTTAATGGGAGGCAGGGGCGAGCCACTGAAGGTATCTGAGCAGGGAGTGGGCCCTGTGCTAGGTGCTGTGGGATGCAGAGACAGGTAGTCTCTGTCCATTCCCTCTCTCTCCCTCATTCAGCTTTATTGCACATCTCCCATGGGCCAGGCCCGGCAACTCTGACTCAGATAAGGCTCCAGGAGCTTGCAGGTCAGCCGGCTGTGCCCCATGTATGTCTGACCTTTGGAGTCTCTTGGTGCTAGGATGTACTTGTATAAAGTCTATTGAAGGGAAATTTCCAGGAGTGTGAGAGGGGAGAAGGCCTCTCTTCTGCAGCTGGTGGAAGAGACTACCCTGTCCCCCCCATTATCCCTAGTCATCTAATGGTTGAGGCAATGAAGGTCCCCATAGGGAAAACCTGGGCAGTCACAGGTTGGCGGGCAGGAGGCAGAGAGAAAGACAGGAAGGTTTTCACTTCAGACCTTAAGTGGAGTGGAAGGTGCTTACAGACCCATGGGGGTAACAGCGTCCACTTTGTTCCAGGGCCCTGGGCCTGGGCTCCATACTTCTGAGAACCTTCTTGAAGGTGAGTGAAGGACTCTTTGGACCACCTGCCATTAAGGCCTCTAGATACCAGCTGCCTTTATGAAGGCCAAGGAATCCCTTATCTGCTGAGCCAGGCCTGGCTGGTCCCCAGCTGGCTCCCCCACCCACAGAAAGCAGGCTTTTCAAAGAATATGAAGTCATGTCATCTGGCTTTTTGTCATCTGGCATAGAGCAGGGGAACACACATCCCAAGCCCTGTGGCTGGACTGTGGCTGGACTGAAAATCTAGCCTATTATTATGGGACAGGGCAGCCAGACTGAATCACTCTGGAGCAGACGGAAAGTCCTCAGTTCACGAAATAGCTGAACACGTATGTATCAGCTAGTGGGTAAAATGCATCTCTCATGTAGCACTTCCCTAGGGCAATTCTAATCTATCTGAACATCTCACAAGCTCTCATACAGACATAGCCATATATAAGCATGTACATGTTAAAACTGCATTGTTCGATGTTTACTCATATGGATGATGTCACTGTACCATTACAAACACACTGTAAATGAGAAAATGGGGAACATATAAAAGTGTCAGTGACATAAACCAGACATGGACCTGGTTCAAAACTCACTGCTGTTGAGTCGAGTCCGACTCATAGTGACCCTTCCTCAGATTTCCCAGGTGGTATCACTGTGGAAGTAGATTGCCCAACCTTCCTTCTGAGGAAGGTGGGTTTGAACCGTCAGACTTCTGGCTAGCAGTCAAATGCCTTAGGCATGAAATAATGCAGACAAGTTGAACTAGTTGCTGTCAAGTCGTCTCTGACTCTTGGTAACACCATGTGTGTCCGAATAGAACTGTGCTCCATAAGGTTTTCAATGGCTGGTTTCTTAGAAGTAGACTGACAGGTTTTCCTTCTAAGGCTCCTCTGGGTAAACTCCACCTTCTGACCTTTTGGTTAGCAGCTGAGGGTGTTAACCATTTGTACCACATAGGGTCTCTGTGTGAGGAGAAGGGACTGCCATTTATTTGGAAGGGCCCGTGAGAATTTCCTAAGTCTTGCAGTCACCTTATAGTCAGTTCTTGATTATCAACAGCAATGAGGAGAGAGGAAGGGCATGAATAATATAAGATGATGGAGAATGAAAACAAACCAAGAAAAGCGCTTGCATCTGGCTTTGGCATGCAGCAAATGTAGATGCGATTTGACACACCCACGCTCTTTGCAATGCCCAGACCCTGCCTGTACTGGCTGTAGCAGAGTCTTGAAGGCAGCTGGGCAGGGAGCCACAGCAAGCCAGAAAATGGATAACCCATTTGCCACGATTCAGGAATCCATCCCAAACTGGGGAAATACTTTCTCACATGTTCCTACTTAGGGAGGCACAGCCAGCTATGCAGTCAGCCCACCTGCCATGTGAATGGACGCTATAACATGGTGGATAAATTTGGTTGTGGCCACAACAGTATCAGTCATTCTATAATCAGAGAGACCAGCAGGATGGGGAGGGTAAATTATAGCCCTTTCCCTCCATTTTTGATCTTATCTCTCAAAATTGCTGTTTTTCAATTCTTTATCTTGGTTTACTTGGAAATAGGATTGCAGGGCAGCAAACATAGCATTCTTGAGTGAAGGAGAGAGGGAGGTCTGGGAGGAGTTTTTATTAATGGAGTTGGGAGCTGGGACTAGCTGCAAGGAAATGTGTACCCACTAAACATCACTGCCAACCTCAGCATCTGCTGCCAGATGACCAGGCTCAGGAAGGAAGGACAAAGGAGTTCTCAGGACCCTTGCCTTCTCCTAGTCTGAGTTTGAATCTACCTTTTATCAGCTGGTAACCTTAGGCTCTTACTCAGAGTGGCAGCTTCCTCATCTATAGAATGAATTTATTCCACAGGGTTGCTGGAATGCAATAATGCATGGGAAGTGCTTAGCACAGCATTTAGTCAGTGGTCAGAAAAGGTTGTTGTTAGGTGCCCTCAAGTCATTTTTGACTTATAGTGACCCCATGTAACAGATTAGGATTGCCCCAAAGGAGCTCTGGTGGCATAGTGGATAAGGCACTTGACTGCTAACTGGAATGTCAGTGGTTTAAACCCATTAGCCACTCCGTGGAAGGAAGACAGGGTGATCTACTTCCGTAAAGATTTACAGCCTCAGAAACCCAATAGGTGTTGCTATGAGTCAGAAATGACTCAATGGCAATGAGTTGGTTTTATTTATTTATTTTTTTGTTTATAGGGTTATCCAGGCTGTAATCGTTATAGGAGCAGGTTGTCAAGTGTTTCTCCTTTGAAGCTGCTGGGTGGGTTCAGACACCAACCTTTTTTTTTTGGTAACAGCTGAGCGCTTAACAGTTAGTGCCACTATGGCACCTTGGTTAGTAAATAGGCCACGCTACTACTGTTGTTGTTAGTTGCCCTCAAATGGACTCCTACTCATGGCAACTCCACGTGTGCAGTGTAGAACGGTTCCATAGAGTTTCTGAGGCTATGACCCTTTTGACATCAGATCATCAGGCCCATCTTCTGAGGCACCTGAGTTCAAACCACCAACCTTCTGGCTTATAGTCGACTGCATAACCATTTGCACCACCCATGTGTAAAGCTGGCTGATTGCCATTTTAGGACCGGTTAGGGATACCTGGTGCAACAGTGGCTAAGAAATCAGCTGTTAACCAAAAGGTCAACAATTTAAACTCATCAGCTGCTCCATGGGAGAAAGATGTGGCAGTCTACTCCCATAAAGATTTAAAAAAAAAAACAAAAAAACAAAAACCTCACTGCCATTGAGTTGATTCCGACTCATAGCAACCCCCATTGGATTTCCGAGGCTGTAAATCTTTATTGAAGTAGATTGCTCCATCTTTCTTCCACCAAGCAGCTGGTGGGTTTGAACCACTGGCCTTTTGGTTAGTAGCCTAATGCCTCATCCACGACACCACCAGAGCTCCTTCACATAAAGATTACAGCCTTGGAAACCCTATGGAGAAGTTCTGCTCTGTCTTACAGAGTCATTATGAGTTGTAATCAACTCGAGGACAACGGGTTTGGTTTGATTTGGCTTGGGTTGGTGGGGTAGAGCAGTGAGAGCTAAGAAACATGGCTCTGCCCAGCTTTAGAAATGACAGAGAGATAGATCATGGAAATGGGAAAAATCTGTTTTCAGGAGTAGGCAGGAAGTTTGGGATCATGGGGAGAACCAGCCACCCAGGCCCAAATCACCTTACATGCATACACACATGTGTATGTACCTGGGGGAACCCATTACACAGCACACCTATTCCTGGTCACAGGACCTGTCGACACTCACTTGCACAGGTTTTCCCATCACTGCGGAGCACATGTCCCTCGGGACACTGACAGGCAAAGGATGTGTCTGTGTTGATGCAGGAATATTCACAACCATGGTTGCTCAGCAAGCAGTAATCTACCCCTGCAAAAGCAAACAGCAAGTAAGGGTATAGGTGGCTACCACAACTATGCCAGTGAGGCCACCAGGCTACTAATAATGGAATGAAGTGACTGCCATGCGCCCACCACCCACCTTCGAATGCATGCATCCCCAGTGGACACTCACAACCGTCCTGAAGTAGAGAAAAAGGTGGAGGAAAGGGGACAACAGGCTGCCGTCCTCTGCAGCCATCCATGCCCCATTTCACTCCTGCTACAAACATTTCCCTGAGAAGATGGCTTCTGGAAAGGCAGGGCATGGGGACTCACTGGAACAGGTCTTGAGGTCCTCGTTGATGAGGAAGCCTTCTGAGCACTGGCAGACAAAGGACTCCTCTGTGTTGAGGCACAACTGCTCACAGCCATGGTCGTTCTGCACACAGTGGTCCACCCCTGCAGCCATCACAGACATGAAAGCAGAAAGGACCCTTAGGGGCAGTGCCGTCCCAGCAAACCCAAAAGTCCATGTTCTTACCATGCAGTCGATTCTCACTCATGGTGACCCTCTGTACTACAGAGTAGAACTGCACCCCACTGGGTGTTCTTCAGTGTGGATTACCCAGTGAGCAAAGTAAGCAGAAGCTTACTTGCACATACTTATTTATCTGTAATGAACAATTTCACATTTCTCACCACATCAAAGATTCTGCTTCCAGGTATGGCTGGCATCTGTCTCTCTACCAACCCCACAACACCTTCCTACAGAATCAAAGCCTCTTTTCAAATTTACAGTCCCTGGGATTATAGACAGAGTAACCCATAGCAAGGTAAGCATAGGCTTTCTTGTGCTTATTTATTAATCTGTAGTGAACAGTTTCACAGGTTTCTCAGATGGGGAAGGCTGTATTCCATCCAGCGCCACTAGGCTCTCTGGAAAATCAGAATAGTTTGTTTTTATTCCTTTATTTTTTTGAAGAGTAAAGTACATACAACTCCAATGGCTGGGCAACAAGTCCCCCATGTTAATGACAGCAGCTCTCCTGGAATGGCACACATGACCTGTGATCATGGCAACACTCCTATGCAGGTGTCATTTCATCTTCACAGAGAGAAAACTAGGGCTCAGGAAGATCAATTTGCTAGTCCTAAGCCACACAGCTGATAAGAGTAAAGCTTAAGAATGAAGGTTGTGGCATCAACCAAAAAAACCAACTGCCACTGAGTTGATTCCAACTCATGGTGACCCCGTGTGTGTCAGAAGAGAACTGGTTCCATAGGGCTTTCAATGGCTGATTTTTCGAAAGTAGGTCATAAGGCATTTCCTCAAAGGAGCCTCTGGGTCCACTTGAACTTACAGCATCAAACTACTTGGGCTCAATCCCATCTCCACCATTTCTTAGCAATGAGAGAATGGGCTGTTCATTTCATGACTTGAGAAATGGGGATGGTGACAGTGGCTTTCTTACTTTTTTTTTTTTTAATTATTTTTTTATTGTGATTTCGGTGAAGATTTACAGAGCAAATTCACTTTCCATACAGCAGTTCACATACACTTTGTCTCATGTCATTGACCACAGTTTACCACAATGCAACAGCTCCCCTCCCACTTCCTCCCCATAGTTACCTCTTCCCAGTGTCCATCCCTCCATACGACAGTGGCTTTCTTGTAGGAATGTGGTGAGAATTTAGTGAGTTGCTACATGTAAAGTTCTCAGAACAGTACCTGGCATACAGTAACCACTGAAGGAATGCTTATCATCATTAAGTAGTGCTGAGGATGAATTGCTCATTTCTATTTGAAAATGAAAAAAAAGTGTTTTGTTTTGTTTTCCTTTTCCCATAAGTAGGACACCTAATTTCAGAAAATAAACCAAAGTGTGGGCCTGCATGTGTGGCCGACCCTGGCATCAGAAGGCTGCACAGCTGGCTCTAATGGGATAGTGGACACACAGCTGTGGTGAGCAGCTCCCACAGACAGCCCTGCAGGCAGCCTCCCAGATTCCCTTGATGGAGAAAATGTACCCCCAGTGACTGGAGGGACACTGTAGGCCTTGTGCACAGCCACCAAGTGGGCCTTTTCACTCCCACGGGGCTTGGGACTGGTGCCCTCTGGAATTTTCCACCACTGGATGCACCTACTGTGAACATTTGCAGGAACTCAGGAGCCTGATGCCTGCGTTCACATCCTGGCCCCACCACTTACTGGCCATGTGACTCCGGGAAAGTTGTTTCATCTTTCTATGCCCCCATTTATCTTTAAATAGGGATAAGAATGCAGCTGCCTCACAGGTTCTGTTATGAGGATAAAATGAGTTACTGCATTGAAAGTGCTCACAGCAGTGCCTGCACAGACCAAGTGCCTTACCTGAGCTTGCTGTTATAGCCTGGAGATCCCTGAACCATCAAGGGGAACAGAATACCATGGCTTTCTCTGGGGAATATCTAGACAGAAATGACTTGGTTTATAATTTCTTAGACCTGACTGGAGTCTCTCAGTGGTTAACAGTGAATGTGCTTGGCTGCTAACTGGAAGGTTGGAGAGTCAAGTCCATCCAGAGGCACTTCAGTAGAAGACTTGACAATCTACTTCCAAAAGATCAGCTACTGGAAACCTTATGGAGTACAGTTCTACTTTGACCCTTGTGGGATTGCTATGAGTCAGAATCGACTCACTGGCAGCTGGTCTTCAGAGCTGACTATGGGATCCTCCTTATTAGATCCCAGAGAGACAGGAGACCTTAATTTCTCCTGGTCCCTGCTCTGAGCACTTCTAGGCTCCCTCAAGGCGTGCTGGGGAGAGGGGCAGGCCATGGCCCCTGTGGTCCAGTGAGCTCAGTCAGATCAGTGCCCAGCCTCTTCCAGATGCCTGCTAGGGCCATCATCAGGCAGATCCCACACTCTCAGAAGAAGGCAGCATCTACAAAGATGCATCTTCAACAGGGTGTCTCCTTGTTGCATGGAAGAGCCCCCTGCTCCTGCTGGCTTCTCGTAGGACTCAGAGACATCCAGTGCTGCAGGGTACTGACCTTTGCACCCAATTTCTGGTTCAAAAGTTCTCTGGCCTCTGAGCTCAATCCTTAGAAAGTCTGATTGAGGCCATTGTTCCATCTGAAGACTGAAGGGAAACCAGCTTTCCTGAGGACTCCTCTGTACCTAATGCTTCATCTGTGAAACTTTCTTTCCTGGTTCAGGGTCCAAGTGCTCAACAGCTGCACTGTTCTTGCTCACAATCTATCCCTGTCCCCAAAGATGTGTGGCTTGCTGAGTGAAAGCCACAAAAAGAGCCCTTTCTATGTCACTGAGCCTCCCTCCCAGTATGCCAGGGTCACAGGGAGCCACTGCAGTGCCCATGGGCTCCCACCCCTGCCGGTCTGGCCCGAGGAGACCGTGCCTCGTAAAGAGTGAAGGACCCATCCAGCTGGCAAAGCCTGCAAGTTTCCACGCGTTTACATCACCAAACGGAGCTTTGTTGTGGCTCTTACACAAGGAAGTAAAGAAAAGCCTTCACAAAAAGTCCCGCGTTCCTCAGCTCTGTCCTCACATCAGCTCTGGGCAGCATAAGTGCTTTCTGAGTTCTGTCCCTTCTGGCCTCTTGTACCAACTCAGGGTGATGTAAGGCCAGGCACTGGCTCCATGATAATAATGAATTATTACCATTGACTGAATGCTTACCTTAGGCCAGGCACAATGTTAAGAGATTAAAATGGCCCTGATTGTTCCCTTTAACAATCAGGGATCAATACTATTATTATCATCACTTTGTTTGTTTGTTTATTTTTAAAATGGGAATCAAGGCTTGGAGAAATTAAATAACTTGCCCGAGGTATGTGGTAGAGCTAGGATTTGAATTCAGGCTCGTCTGACCCCCAGCCAATGCTCTCAACGGCAAATGATAATATTAGTTAATATTTACTGAGTGCATATTATGTGCCTAGCAGCACTGTTCTAAGTGGTTTATATATATTGATTCTTTTCATCCTTACAACCCAATCTATGAGGTGTATTGTTGCTGTTAGTTGCCATCGCGTCAATTCGGACTTGTGAGGACCACATGTGTACAGAGTGGAACTGCTCCACAGGTTTTCATGGCTGTTATCTATTGGAAGATCACCAGGCCCATCTCCTAAGACACCTCTAGTTGAGTTCGAACTGCTAACTTTTCGGCTAATAGTCAGTCAAGTGCTTAACGGGGTTGTGCCACCCTATGAGGCAGGTATAATTAGTAGTCCCATTTTGGGAGCTCTGGTAGCATAGTAGCTAAGGCACTTGACTGCTAACCAGAAGGCTGGCGGTTCAAACCCACCAGCCACTCCCAGAAGGAAAATGGGGCAATCTACTTCTGTAGTGATACTGCCTCAGAAACCCAAGGAGGGGTTGCTATGAGTTGGATCCGACTCGATGGCACATAACAACAACATTTTACAGATGATGAAATTGGGGCCAGGAGTGGTCAAATCTGTTGGACCATCAGGCCCACAGGAAACCCAGGAGCCTCAGAGGTTACTGGCTGCCAGTGAGCCTGTTGGAGTCTGCCTCACAGGCATTGTCTGACCCTAGGGCACACTCACGACTGCAGGTCTTCCCGTTGGGGTCCAGGGTATAGCCTCGGCGGCACCGGCAATAGTATCCCTCCTCTGTGTTGACACATTCATGCTGACAGTCTGGTTTGTTCAGCGCACAGTAGTTGATCCCTAAGGAGAGAAAGGACAGACTCTTCTTCTAACTCTGGGCTTCTCCAAGGACAGTGAGGCAGCCCCTTGGGTCTCTCCCAGAATCCCATGGAGAGAACACGTAGGTGCCTGCCTGCTGAGTTAGCCCTGAATGAGTCATTCCTTCATTTATTCACCAGCTGAGTGCCAGGCCCTGAGCCAAATGTGAAGGTGAGGTGAGGGGTGTGAAATGGTGGTGGGAGGGAATGCAAGGAGAGTCAGCTGAGGCTCCTTCCCTTAAGGGGCTCCTGCTTTAGTGGGAAGGCAGACAAGTGAACAGCAATCATAAGAGAGATGATATAACACAGAGCACGGAGGAGGGGCCCCAAATGAGTCCTGGGAGCAGGGGGTCTTCCCAGAGGAGGTGATGACCAGCTGGAGGCCTTGAAGAGAAAGGAGTTAGGCGAGAAGGAACCAAGTGAGGAGCAACAAACACAAAGGCCTGTGGATAAGGGCCAGGGGTTGTGTTGGAGGATCTTTGAGGAGCTGAGTATAGCAGGAGTGTAAGCATTCAAATGAGGCTGGGGAGGTAAAGTGAACCATGCAGAACCTTGCAAGCCATGGGGGAGGCTATGAGCGTTAGACAGGTGGCTGGAGGGTTGGGTGAGGTGGGAGTGTTTGTGGAGGTAACAAGGCCAGTGTTGTGCCTTTAAGAAGACTTTGCAGAAAGAAGAATGAAAAAACCAAAGATTCATGGAAACAGTTAGTCCAAGCGACTGGTACACCATCCAATCTGCAGCCTATACGACTATGAGCCCAGAAGAACTAGATGGTGCCCAGCTACCACTGTTAACGACTTGGAGGGGGATCTATGTAGGATATCCTAGACAGAATGGTAGAACAATGTGGAACAAAACTCAAAATCATTATAAAAAAAAAAAAAGGACCAGGTTTGATGGTCTGATAGAGCCTAGTGGAACCACTGAGACTATGGCCCCTAGCTGCCCTTCAGGTGTGGAATTGAACCCACTCCTGTGGCTTCCAGCAAAACAAAAGACAGGCATATGAGCTGAACATTCACATTAGGTAGCTACAGTCCTTGGATAGAACAATCATGGGAGAATAGAAGGGCTGTGTAAGCACAGGGAGACAGCTCAGGGGGCAGGGGTGCATGGAGGGAAGGAGACAGGGAAGAGGTAACTATGGGGAGGAAGTAGGAGGGGAGCTGTTGCATTGTGGGAAATTGTCATCAGTGTCATGAGACAAAGTGTATGTGAGCTGCTGTATGGAAAGTGAATTTGCTCTGTAAACTTTCACCCAAATCACAATGAATAAAAAAAAGAAGACTTTGCAGAGTAGAGGGAAAGACAGGGTACTTCAGCCAATAAGGAGCTCTATAGGACACAGAGAAAATAGCTCCTGCTCTCTGGGAGTTTGTTTAACAGGAAACCTGACACCTGAAGTAGCCTTCTGAAGTCTTCAGTCTGGTCTTTTCCCCTGTGTCAGCTAATGGACGGAGAAATGGGTTGAGGACTACAACTCTCAGCCCTTCCTCTTCCAAGAAAGATGGGAAAGCTAAGAAAATTTGATCAGTCTCTTCCTGGAGTTAATCTGATCACCAGGGCCCAAAGCACTAGGAAGCAGCCATCTCCAGTGATATCCAACAGAGACATTGGATAACACGAGGTTCAATAAACAAAAGCTGATCTTGCAAAATATCCAGCTATTTGGGAGAGTCAGGAAGTAGCAGTTACATTAAGAAGGGCCCAAGAGCTTAACCTTGCTCTGAGTGAGTTCATGAGAACATTCCACATCACCAAACTGAAAACACACCAGAAGATGTATTTCTGATGCTGCCCCAGGTTACTGCAGTTTTGTCCCTTGGTAAGAATAACCCCTGTCCCAGCTGTGTTCCTGCCAGCAGATAGAAACGCCATCATTACCAGTAGCCAATTAGCAATTTCATTTCCTGGTAGAAAATGTTAAAACCACAAGACCCTGCAAAACAACAGATTATGGGGGAGATGGAGAACTGTAAAAGAAAATAAAACGAGCTTGTAGAGGGCCTTTATGAGACTGGTGTTAGGGGAAAAGGTCGTCACCAGCCGCTAGATTCATTTAACAGCACAGCATTGTTCTTTTTCTGGGGATGCTGCCTTGCCAACAACCATTACCTCTGTCTTCCTGGAAATAGAACCCTGGCCCCAAGGGAATGAATCATGGTTGGTCTAAGCCAGCTTGGCAACTATGTTCTTCATTGCCAGTGATTGGTTTAATTGTGAGAACATGCCCTAGTTCTGACTGATGAGACATAAGAAGTTTTCTGAGGGCCCCTAGGAAAGACTTTTCTCCCTGAAAAGCCAGAGGTATAGGAGGACAGATACTTTTTCCTTCCCGTATCTCTTTCTGTCCTTTAAACTAGTAGTGTGAGGGTATGCCATGTGAAGCTGCAGCAGCCACGTTGCAGCCATATGGCAACAGGCATGAGGATGAGGATGGCAGAGTAAAAGGACAGAAAGAGTCTGGGTTCTTGGTAACACTGAGCCAACCCTGGAAACAACCACTGCTGGAACTGTCAGGGAAAAAGGAAATGTCCTTTGGCTGAAAACACTGTTCATTGGATTCTCTGTTTTATATGGCCAAAATGTATCCTGATACAGGGGGAATAATCTGAAACCATAAAGTAATACACTGAGAATGTATACATTTTACTTTTATTTATCACATCTCTTCCCAAAAAGTATTTGAGGGAGCTTACACACACAAATGCCTTGTATATAAGATACATGTCACCCTCTTGTATTGATAGCTCCTCACTGCCCTTAGGATGAAGACTGAGGCCTCTAGCATGGCCTTGGAGGCACTGCATGGCCTGATTCTAGTTTATTCCAGATTGTGTGTTCTAGCCACACTGGCATTCACTGAAGTCCTCAGGCTCCCTCCCACCAGAGAGTCTTGTACATGTTGGTCTTTATCTCTGTAATGACCTATTCTTCACACTCCACTCCCACCATTATCCACCCACTGCCACTGAGTTGATTCTGACTCAGAACCACCGGTGGAACCACTGAGACTATGGCCCCTAGCTGTCCTTCAGGTCTGGAACTGAACTCATTCCTGCGGCTTCCAGCAAAACAAAAGACAGGCATATGGGCTGAACAGAGTAGAACTGTCCCACAGGGTTTCCAAGGCCATAAATCTTTATGGAAGCAGACTGCCTCATCTTTTGTCCGCAGAGCAGCTGGTGGGTTTGAACTGCTGACCTTTTGGTTAGCAGCCAAATGCTTTAATCCGTATGTTCTAACATGTGTTAGCACAGCATCCTTTCCCCAGCAATGCCCTCCACAACCTCCTGATGAAGTTAGTTCTTTCTCCTGGACCTCTCACAGCATTCATCACAATGGTTATATAACATTTGTGTGTGTGTGTGTGCGTGTGTGATGCCTCAATCTGTTTCTTTTGAAGGAAGGACTATATCACTTTTTCTCTTCATCATAGGCATCCATTGATGATGTTAATGATGATAACCATAGCTGCTAACATCACTTAAGCATCTACTCATAAACACAATGTCCTTTGATCCTACAAGGTACATGCTATCCTTATCCACATTTTAAAGATGGCGAAATGGAGAGATTTGAAGAGGTTACTATATGGTTTTTTGAGAGGTTAACACACATAAGCCAGGCTTGGGCAGCTTTATCTGGTAAGTCCTGGAGTGGCCAGTAAACCCCTCCAAGGTCAGATGGTGGAACTGTCAGATAACAAATAAAACAATCTTTATGAGTGCCAACTCTGTGTGGAGCTATATACGGAACTCAAAGAAGAAGATCCAACTGGGAAGGTTGCTGTAGTGTGCTATTAATTCGATTCCAACTTATATTGACCCTACAGGACAGAATAGAACTGCCCCATAGGGATTCCTATGCTGAAATTTTTTATGGGAGCAAACTGCCAGGTCTTTGCTCCTGCAGAGGCAATGGTGGGTTTAAACCACCAACCTTTCAATTAACACCTTTACTATTAAGCCACCAAGGCGTCTTACTGGGAAGGTAAGACCTTAAAGACATGAAAGATTACTAACCCCAGGTAAATTATAACATCAGGTGAGTGGCACAGATAATGAGATTAGAAAAATCAGACTGGCAACAAAATGTTAAAGCAGGAAGTCCTATTCCTTCAGTTTAGGAAATCCAGGTCCAGAGGAATAAAGTGATCTGCCCAGGGTCACATGGCTGATCTGAGTGTCATTGCCAAGGCTGGACCTCCTATCTTTCAGCTCAGTCCAACCTATGTTTACACCTAGTTTTCCTTTTTACCCTGTGTTTTGCAGCTTCAGGAAGCACTAACCAGCCCGTGGTACCAGAATGAGCAATCCTGGGGCCCAGCACACTGAGTCACACACACATCTGATTCAGCCCTGGACCTCCACCTAGACAACCAGGCCAGACCCAGTTTCTGGGCTTTGCACCACCGCCTTAATAATTTATGCTTTTAAGTCGATGACAGCACTCTCCAGCAGGAGAAACAGTGCCTGGAGAAGAAGGAAGAACAAATGCTGGCCAAGAGTTTTCTCTCCAGTAAGATTCTGCCTTAACTTTTTATTTTTTTCCTGCTTAATTGAATAACATCAAATTCCTTTGAAAAATAGATTGTTTATTAGATTTGGAAACACTCTCCATCCATCAACCTCCCATTAACTGTAAATGGCTGGACCCTGAGCTCTAGACTGTAATGTTCAGATCACTCAGGAGACCTCAGACTCCTAATAACCAAGTCCAGATTTTAAATCCAATGTCTTCGCCTCTCTCTCTACCAGAGAATGCTCCCGAGAGTGGCAGACAGGAGCGCTCGCTTCCTTCCACAGCTGTCTGTCATAATCCACCAAGTGCAAACATTCAGTCAGGGGAACTCTAAGAGGCTGACCTCAGGAGTCAAGAGGGCTGGGTTCGCAGAAAGACAATGGAAAATGTAACGATGAAGCAGGATGTTGGGAGAAGGGCTGATGAGGACACCGTGTTTTAGGAAAAAATTCTATTTTTCTTGGATGGAAAATCAAGACACCTGGCTAACAAGGCAATGGAACTATAACCACTGAATATATATGAATGAATGTTAGGCACTCTGCAAATAGGCCCATCTGCTGGCCAGTGACTGATAGTCAAACTACTCCCAAATGGTCACTTCCTCACCACTTTCCCTTCTGTTCTCAGCCCTCTCCTCCCTTAATCATGATGTGCTCACTGCCTTGGGTCTTTCTCTTATTCCAAGTGCCTTTCCAGGCAGGGTGTGGACAGAGACAGAGGTTGAGGGAGTCCAGACGATTGGTAAGACAGGCAGAGCTTAAAGGAAATTCTCTGTACTGATGGCCATGTGCCTAACTTGTTTCCTTTTCACTTCATTGGTAACACAAAATGAAGCTTACAACCACAGTGAGGGTCTGAGTTGAACCAGATCTAATTATCCTCTTTTCCGTTACAGCCATCGGTCCACCAGTGAATCTACCTGTGGGTGATTTTCCCTGCATGCAGTCAGCCGCTGACACATTCACCCTCAGAACAAGGTGTAAACAGAGAGGAGAGGCCAGGCTAGAAAAGTTGGCCCCCCAACATTGTACGCATGTGTGGTCTAATGGAAAATATTCCATCTACAGTAATTGTTTTCACATTCTGAATGCTCTCAATTAAAATTCCCATCTAATGCTTGGATGTTTCCAGGGTTTGTATCTAGGCAAGGCAGTGGGAATTCTTTTTTATAAGTGAAGCTGTTTCAAAATGTGGGCTCTGCAACCATCTGTCACCAGACAACATTTATCAGGTATTAGAATGAGCGTGTAAGTTAATATGTGCTACCGGCAGACTGGGACTCATCTGGGTTCAGTCATACAGCCCATGGTGTTATTCAAAAGAGATAAATGGTTAAACCTTGGAAAACTCAGTCCTGCTATATACATATTGCCAGGAAGGAGTGGGTGAAGAAATATATAGGAAAATACATCCCTAAACGGGAGCTCCAGAGAATTCTGTGAATGACATTGTCAGAAGAACTCAAACAATTGACTGTGCATGAGTGTGTCAACTATAGGAATAGTTTTGGTTACCTAGTGCCACTCTGACAAGAATATATACCATAAATGGGATGGCCTTAACAAGCAGGAGTTTATTTTCTTACAGTTCAGGAGGCTAGAAGTCCAGATTCAAAGTGCCAGGCTCTAGGGGCTGGATGAAAGCCTCTCAGCCTTGGGCTTCAGCTTTGCCTCCAGCGCCCAGCCCACTGAAGGTAGAGGCTTTTCTTCACTCAGACAACTGCTGGCTGCTGAGGCTACCAAGCCCAAGATTGACAGGTAAAAAGGCACAGTCTTGATGTTACCAAACCACACGGCAGGCCATTAATTCAAGTCCACTGTAAGTCCCACGGTTGGCAGAGCATGGCAGGCTGCTGAACAACACAGGTACATGCAGGGTCCAAGTGTGCCATATGCTAGACCATTCCCCAAGGCTTTTGCTTATATACAGTAAGCAGACCACATCCCAAAGGCAGCTACTCAGCTGCTTGTGGTAGATCCCACCATGGAGTTGATTGCCAGTCTCATCATGGGGAATAATTACCACCAGCTGCCCAGCCACTCAACCAGGCCCAGCCAAGTTGACATACAAATTTAACTAGCAGAGGAATGTTTATGAAAAAATCTACAACTTGCCTGTTTTGAAAAGGCCATCTTTCTAACAAGATTGAGTAATTCAAATAAAAGTTGCAATTCTCTAGGATGATAAGTGTCAAGAGAGATTCACTTATTCATTCATTGAACAAATATTGAGCTGTATCTATTAGACATGGCCAGGCACTCTTTGAGGTGTTGAGGGGTCAGCTGTGAGAAAAAGACAAAAATCGCTGGCTGTGAAAATCTTCTGTTCTAGTAGCCTCTCAGGAACGGTCTGGTTTGACAAGATCCTGTTTGGAGTGCGTGCTCTGGACCCAGTCAGTCCCCTTGATGTGCCAGATGACAGGCTCGGCACATTGTTCATATTATCCTGCTGACACCTCCTGCCCCTTAAGTGCTACTAGGAGTCCCCAGAGTCTTCCTTTTCTTCTTCCTTCACTTCCTCCCTCTTGGCAGCCATAAAGCATCTTATCTCATAAAACTGGAAGAAATGAGCTCTTTCTAGCAACTGTCTGGGCTCAGGCATTTCTTTCTCAAATCCCAAATACATATTGTGGGGTGAGGAGGAGAGGTTGCACCTCACTTCAAATAGGTGGGAGTTTCATCTTGGGTACAGACTTTGTTCCATGAATCTAATGCCCAGACCAAGTCTATTCAATGTATAAAAACCATCATCCCCATAGTAGGATCAAGTAAGCCAAAAGGTAAAATAAAGGGCAGAATCATGTTAATAAACACAAATACTAAGTGAAAACATATCTTACTTGAAATTTGCAAGGAAAGGAAAACTACCTACAAGTCTTTTTCTCATACCAAGTGTGACTTACTTCTGCAGGTTTTCTTATCTGGATTCAGGGTAAACCCTTTCAGGCAACGGCAGGAATAGGAATCATCTGTGTTAACACACTCATGCTGACATCCATGGTTAGATGAAGCACAGTAGTCTATCTCTGGAAAGAAAAAAAAATAGTTATAATGAGGAATAAAATAATAAATATGATGTGAGAAGAACAAGGGATTTTCAGTCTTAAATTTTCCCAAACAGATAAAATCCTATGACCTAGCAGAGTAATGCCATGAAGAAATCTCTCAGGGTTTAGGGATATGGCCTTCACCACCATCACTGTCACCACCACCCCAGTAAGAAAACTTTCTTTACAGGTTACAAAATGCAAATACAGCATATGACATGGACGAACCTTGAAAACATTATGCTGAATGAACTAAGTCACCAAAAGACAAATAGTGTATGATCCCACTTACATGACATATCTAGAACAGGCAAATGTTGAGAGACAAAAGTTTATTAGTGGTTACAAGGGCTGAGGAGGAGGGAGAGGGGAGTTTTTGCCTAAGGGGTACTGAGTTTCTATTTGGGGGGATGAAAAACTTTTGGAAATGGATAGTGGCGATGGTTCCACAGCACGGCAAACGTAATTAATGCACTGTACACTTGAGAATGGTTAAAATGGAATATGTTTGATTATATATGTATTTTAACACAGTAAAATAAATTTTAAAAAGTGCTTTGTGCAACAGATGAGTTTGCGAACATGCTTCCTGTGAGATCTACTACCATGAAAGGGTGTGATGAGGTGGTGTCTGCCCTATTGTAGATCCGGAAGAGTGAGCTTAGTTGAGTGCCTTCTGTTTTTGCCTGTACTTTAATTAAGATTAGGAAACCTTCTCAAAGTCAAATTCCAAACCATTTAAACTCCTCAAACACTAGGAAGCCAAACAATAGGATACAAAACAATATAACAGGGAAAATAGTCCTGGGAATAAAGGCCATAGATTTCCAAGGTCAAAACAGGTCACTTGTTACCTCACTGAACTCAGCTGCACATCAGTAGATCGAGTTTCACAAAGAATATGATTTCTAGGTGTTGAAAAAAGTTGTTGGTTGCCATCTAGTTGACTTCAACTCATGGAAACCCCATGTACAACAGAACAAAACATCGCCCGGTGCCGCACCATCTCCACAAGAGTTGGTGTGCTCAAGTCCATTGTTGCAGCTGCTGGGTATTTTAAGTGCCTTCCAATCTTGGGGGCTTATCTTCCTGCATGCTATTGGACAATATTCTGTTGTAATTCCACAGGGTTTTAATTGGCTAATTTTTGGCATTAGATCACCGGGCCTTTCTTCCCAGTGTGGCTTAGTTCAGTGGCTCTACTAAAACCGGTCCGCCATGGGTGATCCTGCCAGTATTTGAAATATTGGCGGCACAGCTTCTGGCATCATGACTACACACAAGCCACCAGTGTATGACAAACTGATAGATGGTTGGTGGGTAGTTTTATTGTTGTTGTTAGATGCCGTTGACTCATAGCAACCCTATGCACAACAGATGAAACACTGCCGATCCTGCACCATTCTCATAATTGTTCCTATGTTTGGGCTCATTGCGGCGGCCCCTGTGTTGATCCATATGTTGAGGGTATTCCTCTTTTTAACTAACCCACTACTTTATCAAGCAAGATGTCTTTCTCCAGTGATAAGTCCCTCCTGATAACATGTCCAAAGTACGTGAGACAAAGTCTCACCATCCTCACTTCTAAGGAGGATTCTGACTGTACTTCTTCCAAGACAAATTTGTTTATTCTTCTGGCCAAACCAAACCAAACCAAACTCACTGCCATTGAGTTGATTCCAACTCATAGCGACCCCTCCTGGGCTTCTAATGCTATAAATCTTTACGGAAGCAGACTGCCTCATCTTTTTTCCATGGAGTGGCTGGTGGGTTCCAACCACCAACCTTTTGGTTAGCTGTCAAATACCTTAACCATTACACCACCAGAGCTCCTTCTGGCAGTCCTTGCTATATTCAATATTATTCACTAACACCATAATTCAAATGCACTTCTGAATACTTTTTTGGTCTTCATTATTCATTGTCCAGCTTTTGCATTCATAGGAACCAAACCAAACTTACTGCCATCAAGTCGGATCCGACGTGGTACCTCTATGGAAGTAGATCGCCCAATCTTCCTTCCGAGGAGTGGCTGGTGGATTTGAACCACCAGCCTTCTGGTTAGCAGTCAAATCCCTTAGGCACTATGCCACCAGAGCTCCCTTGTATAGGAGGCAACTGAAAATACCATGGCTTGGGTCAGGTGCACCTTAGTCCTCAAAGTGACATCCTTGCTTTTTAACACTTTAAAGAGGTCTCTTCCAGAAGATTTGCTCAATGTGTTTCGTAGTTTCATTTCTTGACTGCTGCTCCCGTGGACACAGATTGTGGGTCCAGGTAAAATGAAATTCTTGACAACGTCAATCTTTGTTCCATTTATCTTGATGTTGGTTCACTTGTGTGCATTTTTGTTTTCTTTATGTGAGGTGAAATCCATAGTTTTATTAGATATTGTCAAATTCCTCTCCATAGTTATTTTATTATTTTACATTCACACCAGCAATGTATGAGATTCCTAAAAGAATTTTTTAACTTGGAAAAAAATGTGAAAGTAGCTAAGAGATAACCTTTTTGGGAAAAAAGTGATGAAGAGGACTTGTCTTATAAAATATTAAAATGAACTGCACTATTTCTAACTAAAAGATAAGGAGCCCTGGTGGTACAGCGTTTAAGCACTCAGTTGCCAACTAAAAGTCAGAAGTTTGAACCCACCAGTGGCTCCTCAGGAGAAAAGGCCTGTTGACCTGCTGCTGTAAAGATTACAGCCGAGGACAACCTGTGAGGCAGTTCCACTCTGTCATATAGGGTCTCTATGAGCTGGAATCAACTTGACAGCACACACAACAGCAACAACAAATAAAAGACTACACTGCTGATCCAAGAATAGAAAAGCCAAGCAACAGACCAAGATGAGAAATCCTAGCGAATACAACCACCTCATTGGTAATAAAGTTCGAAAGCATCATAATTCAATGAAGATGAATTCGTCAATAAAACTTGTTCAGTTGAAAAATGTGGTAGTCTAATTTTTTGCCTTGTTGTTGTTGTTGTTATGTGCCGTCGAGTCGGCCCCAACTCATAGAGACCCCTCCTTGGGTTTCCGAGGCAGTATCACTACGGAAGTAGGATTGCCCAACCTTCCTTCCGAGGAGTGGCTGGTGGGTTTGAACCGCCAGCCGTCTGGTTAGCAGGCAAGTGTCTTAGCCACTATGCTACCAGAGCTCCCTAAAGTGAAATAATTTTTAGATTGATCATAAAGTTAAATGTTGTTGTTGTTATGTGCCATCGAGTCGGCCCCGACTCATAGCGACCCCTCCTTGGGATTCCGAGGCAGTATCACTACGGAAGTAGATTGACCAGTCTTCCTTCCGAGGAGTGGCCGGTGGGAAATAATAAACATAAAAGTATGAGAAAGAGAGGTGACTGAGGATAGGAAAAACCTTTTTAAGCATAAAAGCAATGGAAGAAATACCCAAATATAGTCTATACATTTTTCTTAGTTTATTTTTTTAATATTTTAAAAACATAATTTAAAAAGTTTTAAATTTATTATTTTTAAAATTTTAAATTATTTTTTAATTTTTAAAATTAAAAAATTTAAATACATTACTGCTTTTTACTGCTTGGAAGTTATAGCATTCAGATACATTTTAAAAATTTGAATATGATAAAAAATAGTAAATAAGGAAAATTATTTGCCATAAATAATGACAAGATTAATATATTTTATTATATTAAAAATTCACCAATCTATAAGAGATTATAAAGCTAAGCATCTATTAAATATTTTATGGGCCATGTATTGAATACGCATTATCTCCTTTAATTCTTAAGACAATTTGATGAGGTGAAGATCAATATTATCTCCATTTTGCAGAAAAGGAATATGAAGTTTACAGAGATTAAGAGAGTTGCTCAAATCATGGTATTAGTAAACATAAGGAACAAAATTTGGAACCAAGACTGTCTGACTCTGAAGTCCATGGTAACTACAGGTGGTTGTTAGGCGCCATTGAGTCGGCTCTGACTCACAGTGACCCTGTGTACAACAGAACAAAACACTGCCTAGTCCTGTGCCAGCCTCACAATCCTTGCTGTACGTGAGCCCATTGTTACAACCACTATATCAATCCATCTTGTTGAGGGCCTTCCCCCTTTTCATTGACCCCCACTTTACCAAGCATAATATCTTCCTCCAGGGAATGGTCCCTTCTGATAACATAAGCAAAGTAGGTGAGACGAAGTCTGGTCATTTTCGCTTCCAAGGAGCATTCCGGCTGCACTTCTTCCAGGACAGATTTGTTCATTCTTCTGGCAGTCAATGGTGCTTTCAGTATTCTTCACCAACACCACAACTCAAAAGCATCAACTCTTCTTCGGTCTTTCTTATTCATTGTTCAGCTTTCACACGTATATGAGGCGATTGAAAACACCATGGCTTGGGTTAGTCGTACCTTAGTCTTCAAGGAGATATCTTTGTTCTTCAGCACTTTTTGAAAGAGGTCTTTTATAGCAGATTTGCCCAGTGCAATGCATCATCTGATTTCTTGACTGCTGCTTCCACTGGTGTTGATTGTGGAACCAAGTAATATGAAGTCTTTGAGAACTTCAGTCTTCTCTCCATTTATTGTGATGTTGTTATTGGTCCACTTGTGAGGATTTTTGTTTTCTTTATGTTGAGGTGTAATCCATACTGTAGACTATCGTCTTTAATTTTCATCAGTAAGTGCTTCAACTCATCTTCACTTTCAGCAAGCAAGATTGTGTCATCTGCATATTGCAGGTTGTTAACGACTCTTCCTCCAATCCTGATGCTGCGCTCTTCTTCATATAGTCCAGTTTCTCGGATCATTTGCTCAGCATGCAGATTGAATAAGTATGGTGAAAGCATCAACCCTAACACACTTCCTTCCTGATTTTAACCCATGCAGTATCCCCTTCTTCTAACGACAGCCTCCTGGTCTATGTATAGGTTCTTCATGAGTACAATTAAGTGTTCTGGAATTCTCATTCTTCTCAATGTTATCTCAGTGTTAGGA